ACTAATGCACTGTTAGTGGAGCTGTGAATTGATTCAACCATTATGCAGAGCAATTTGGAACTTATGTCCAAAGGACCATAAAATCATGCATACCCTTTGGCCCAACAATACCTAGGTCTGAACCCAAATGAAATAAAAAACAAAAAGGAAAAGGACCTATATGTACAAAAATATTTATAGCAGCTCTTTTCTGGTGGAAATTGGGGGGGATGCTTATCAATTGGGGAATGGCTGAACGAATTGTGGTATATGATTGTGATGGAATACTATTGTGCCATAAGAAACAATAAGCAGGCAGATTTCAGAAAAACCTGGAAAAAATTTACATGAGATGATGCAAAGTGAAAAGAAGAATATTGTACACAGTAACAGAAATATTGTAAAATAATAAACTGTGAGTGACTTAGCTATTCTCAGCAATACAATGATCCAAGACAACTCTGAAGGACTTATGATGAAAAATGCTATCTGTCATGGAATATTAGAGAAAGAACCAAAGGAGTCTGAATACAGATCAAAGCATACTTATTTTTACTTTCTTTATTTTTCTTGGATGATGAAAGGTGAAAAGCCAATAGACTTTGGTTGGATAAAGGGATTTCAGAATTTTCTAACATGGAGGTGGTACATTTGTGGGTGAATAGCAAGATCAAGAATATGGCCATCTTTGTATGTGGCTAAATTGAGGTGGAGGAATAGCTCCAATCAATATGTGTATTGAAGTCCCCTAGTATGAGGGCAGGAGTCAAGAAGGCGAGAAAAATTGTAAGCTGGGTATCAAACTCATTGAGGAAGGAAGGGGAATGACCTGGGGGTCTGTAGACAATAGCCACCAGGATTTTGATTGGGTAGTATATATGAATAGCATGAACTTCAAAGGAAGAAAGATTATTGAATTGATGGAGGAAGAAGGAGGACCTGGAAGTGGCAATGGGGAGCAAATAGCACTCTAACTCCCATGCCTCTACCAGTAAGCTGAAGAGAATAAGTGAGGGTGGCCAAGGATGCTGTTTCATTATGAGGAGTCAGGTTTCAGTAAGAGTTAGTAGATAGAACAGAGTAGGAGAGCAATAGATTTAAGATAAAAGGAAGTTCATTGCATATGAAACAGGCATTCCAGGGCACAGTGGAAGGGCTAGGTGGAGTCAGGATGAAACTTGGGGGTGGGAGGGTTGAGGAGGGTGGGAATGAGGAATTGGGTAGTAGGGGGTGAGTATGGGGTTTGGATGATGATCAGGAGTTCAGAGTCATTGGGCTGTGAAGGGTATGAACAGATGAGAATGTTCATCATTGAGTGGAAGGCACAAACACTCCTGTTATTCTCAAAGGACAGGTGCAGCAGGAGACAGGAGGCCCGAAGTCAAAGAGAAGGCTGCTCTTCCTTGCATTGGTTATCCACATCCCACCAACCTATATGTGGGATTTGCTAATACAGTGCACAGAATTCTACCAGTCCATATATAATTCTGTGAACTCATGCATGTTTCCACCAGCTTGATCCCAGAAACAACGACAGACCTTATCTAGCATCATTATTTGATTCCATTAAAACCAAGTGTTCAGGAAAAGAACATTTCTGGGGTCAGTGAGTTCCACAGGAACAATATTGTGAGTGTTGACAGTGGAGGATCAATTGATTCAGATGTTAAAACGGGCTTTGTTCTTCTGCAGTACCAGCATTGGTTGGAGGCATTATAACTAGGAGATGTCTGGTAGTGTTTCTGTCACTCACTAAAACATTACCCCACCTATATAAGAGCTCATCCACTTCTATAGACTCCCACTAGACCAAAGGTTTATTCAGTGTCTGCCATGTTCCAGGCACTGTGCTAGGCACTGGGAATAGTTCACTCTCCTGCCATAATGTACTGGTTCCCACCAACCCATGTGTGCCCACCATCCCATGTGTGATCTCCCCAAGTCATGTACAATTCCACCATCTTTCTGTGTTTCCATTTTCCCATATGTGTTCTCACAGCCAGTTCATGTATGGACCTACCAGCCCATTCAAGACCCCATCAATCTGTTTGTGACCTTGCCAACCCATATATGATTCCACCAGCCCACACACGATTCCACTGGTTTGTATGTGATGCCACCAGGCCATGTATGATCTCACCAACTCCTACCCCACACACTACCCAGTCAGAAAGAAATTCTCTCACTCTTGACTGACCTAGTTTCCTCAAGGTGTCCCCCCCCCTCCACCGCCCACACACAGCTCCAGCCTTAGAGATAGCTCAGCCAAATGTTCTGCCAATGGCGTCTGATTCCTACCCCAACAAAACAATGGGAGGGAGGGACGGTGATTCCTCAGGGAGCCCCTGGCCCTGTGGCTGCCACCTGTCCCAAGGACAAATAGCCCTTCCTGTCCATTTACACAGCAGTATCTGCCTTAATGCTCTTATTAATACCCCCATTAATACTCTCCTGGCTCTTTCCATCAGCACTCTCATTCCTGTTCTCATTATCGCTTTCCCTAATGCCCTCATCAATGTTCTCCTTAATACTCTTGCTAATGCCCTCATTATTGCTTTCATTAATACTCTCATTACTGCTTCATTAGCATACTCTATAATGGTATCATTAGCATTCACATTAATACTCTCCTTAATGTTCACATTAGCATAGTCATTATGCTCTTAATACTTTAATTAACCCTGCCATTAATGTCACCAGTCGATCCCATTTTTATGGTACTTTGCAGTTTACAAAGTGAAAAGTAGTATGATATGGTGGGTAGAGCACCAGACTTGAAATCTGGGAGATCTGGATTCAAATCCCACCTCATGGACTAACTAGCTGCATGATCTTGGGCAAGTCATTTAAACATATCTGTGCCTCGGTTTCTTTATCTATACAATGTAGGGGTTAGGTTTCAGGGACTCCAAGGTTCCTTCCAGTTTAAATCCATGATTCTTTTATAACAATAATAGCTAGCATTTATATAGTGCCTACTGTGTTCAGTGCTTTACAAATATTATGTCATTTGATCCTTGCAAAAAGCCTGGGAGATGGGGCAGCTAGGTGGTGCAGTGGTTAGAGCACCGACCCTGAAGTCAGGAGAACCTGAATTCAAACCTGACCTCAGACCAAGCACTTGACACTTACTAGCTGTGTGACCCTGGGCAAGTCACTTAACCCCAATTGCCTAAAAAAAAAATCCTGGGAGATAGGTGCTAATATTATCCCCATTTTACAGCTGAGGAAACTGAGACAAACAAGTTAAATGACTTGTCCACTGGTCACTCAGTTAGTGGCTTTCACTCATTTTTGTCTTAATATTTTCAGTGTTCTAAAATCACTAGCCCTGAACTGGTTTGGGCAGGGGGAGTTCTCCCACAGTTGCTCCTTTATTGGGAGTTCAGCTTGTTTGATTAAACCTTTTCATTCTGGGCCCTTAGTCCCTTTTCTAGAGGGGATAATGGTTCAGGAAGAGAGGGACTGGATTAAATGGTTTCTGAGGGCTGTATTATGGTCAGTTGAAGCTTTTTTGTGGTGGGGAGGGAGACAAGAAAGAGGGAATATGGGAAGGAGAAGGCATGAGGAAGGGACATGATGTGTGTATGATAGGAAGTGGAGAAAGGAAGGCCTTGGGGATAAGGATGGACAGAAGAGGGAAGAAAGAGGGAGGGGAAGGGGAGAAAGAGAAGCACAGAGAAAGAGAGAGAGAGAGATCATAAAAGGGAGGAAGAAAAGGCAAGAAGCAGAGAAGGAAGAAGAAAAAAGGAGGAAGAGAGGGGAAGGGGAAGGAGGAAAGGTGAGTGTCACACAGTGAAATTCTGAGGTCCCAACATGTTGCCAAGGCCTGTCGATTTTACCTTCATAACATCTCTTCCATATGCCCACTTCTCTCCATTGTCACTGCTGCCATGTTGGTACAAGCCTTCATCACCTCACCCCTGGACTATTGCAATAGCCTGCTGGTGAATCTGCCAGCCTCAAGTCTCTCCCCACACTCTAGTCAAGCCTCCCCTGTGCTGTCAAAGTGATCTTCCTCAAGCAGAGGTCTCCTTCCCCAGTGCCCCACTCAATAAATCCCAGTTGTTCCCTATCCCCTCTAAGATCAAATATAAAATCCTCTGGTGTTCGTAACTTCATAACTGCTCTCCCTCCCATATTTCCAATCTTCTTACACCTTACACTCCCTTACCTACTCTTCAATCCAGTGACACTGACTTCCCTTCTGTTTTTCAAACAAGGCACTCCATTTCCTGACTCTAGGTATTTTCTCTGGCTGTCTGTCCTGGCTGGAATGCTCTCTCTCCTCATTCCTACCTACTGGTTTTCCCAGCCTTCTTCAAGTCCCAGCTACAACCCCATCTTCTATGGGAAGCCTTTCCTTATCACAATTCTAGAACCTCTCCTCTGTTGATTTGATTATTTCCCATTTATCCTATATATTTATATACTATACTATATGTGGTATATATAATATATATATATACATACACTATTTACAGTTGTTTGCATGTGGTCTTCCCCATTAAATTGTGGACTCCTGGAGAGCAGGACCTGTCTTTTATCTTTCTTTGAATACTCAGTGCTTTGCACAGTGCCTGGCACATAGTAGGTACTTAATAAATGTATATTGACTGACTGAAGATTAATGGTCTTCTCATGCCCTCTTGACATGGTGCTTATCATGGTCCTTGGTTCTTCTAATTCCTCCAACTTTCAGAGGTTCTGCTCTGAATGAGACAACCATAGCAGCCCAAGAGTGGAAAGTTATTCTCTGAGCCATAGGGACAATGACTAGAGCAATATCAATGCCAGGGTTGGATCTGGTGCCAGGACCACAAGGTCCCCACCTCTGCCAGAGTGAGCAGTGTCTCTGGTTTATCTTCAAATAGCAAAGTACGTTTTAGGGCACCTTGCCTCTCTTCTGAATTGCACTCAGGGCCCTAGGGCAGAAAACCCCCAGAAGCTCAAGGTGAGGGATAGGTTGATGAAATGCTGTTCTCAGCCCTAACTCTGCTGCTTCTGTCCTTGCCCCACAGTATGGGATCAAGAAGAAGGAGGAACGTGAGGCAGAGGCCCAGGCTGCAATGGAAGCCAACTCTGAAGGCAGCCTTACGCGTCCTAAGAAGGCCATTCCACCAGGTTGTGGCGATGAAGAAGAGGAGGAGGAAGAGAGCATCCTGGACACCGTCATCAAATACCTCCCTGGTCCTCTCCAGGATATGTTCAAGAAGTAATTCCCCATGAACTCTCAGACTGTTTCTACCATGAACAGCAAAGCAATGCCGTTCCCACCACTTGGTGGGAACACTCTCTATCTCGCCACCCACCATGCACCCCTCTGCTCACTCCATCTTCCTGCCCCCTCCCTCCCTGGCTTCCCCAGGCCCCTTGGCCAGGCCTATTTGTACATAATCCCTCCTCCCCACTCTCCCCAGTAGATGCCTCCCATCCATCAGATGTCAGGAGCAGAGTGCCGCAGTCTACTCAACTTTAATTATAAGCCATAGTACTAGGTGTGTTAGGAAACTCAGCTAATCAGGCACCTCTACACTCGACAGAGAAAAGGGGAGACCTCCCAGTGGCTTCTGGCCCCCAAATAGGCAGCACCATATTCCTGGAGAGCAAGCAGGGGCTGCTTTCAATTATCCATGGGATATTTGCCATGACCACCAATGGGCCAACAGACCGACGTTGGTCACATGGGGCTTCCCCACTCCTGTAGGTGTCTTCACCATTGCTGCCCTCTCCCAGGGAAAGGGAATTTGTCTCTCTGTGCAGGGACTCTTTGGAAAGGCAATCATTTGAAATGCAAATTTCCCATAGGAGGGCCAAGCCTTCCCAAATTTTTCTTGTGTTAATACCACTGCCACCCAGGTATCAGAATCCAGCCTAGGGTCTTATTCCACATAATTAAGAGGAAAGAAGAATATGCAAGGGAATGACTAGGGAGGAGGGAGAAAAGGGGTTCTGGGGTGTTCCCTGAAGTTTGGTGGCTTTATGTACAAAGCTTCTTGGAACATCCTAGAAAAGGGTCAGGCTACCCTTTCTGCCTCCATATTATGATTCACACACATGCATGGGCACACACACACACACACACACATGCCCCTTGGGACATACACTGTGGAACTGTCCTCCCACTGTGGACCATAAGATATTATCTAATCATCAATATTAGCATCTTGTGAGACATTCCCCTGTTGCCCCAGTGCTTGGGACAAGGATAGACTGTCTTTTTTGTTTTCTCATACTCTCCTGTAGGGACATGGAGGCAGAGGTCAGGGGGCAACTGGTATTACCTATTAGGATTTCAGAACAAGTATGAAAGGTCAAAGTTTCAATGCCACATCTTTCTTCCTGGGCACCACAGCCCTGCATGAAAGATGGAGCTATCATTAGAAACTGGAGCTTAGAGCTCATTGTTCTGAGACCCTACTGTCAAGGAAACCAAACTCAGGAAAATAAGGATGAAACTGTCCCTAGAGAAAACTCCCTTCAGAGAGGAAGCCTACATTGCCTGTCCTGCCCCTCCAGGGTAGATTCAGGACTTAGGACCCTCTTCTTGAGCAGGGAGTGCCCTCCAAGACAGGGTTAGGACATGATGGATGTCATGGCCCCTGTCATCCACCTCACATTCTAGGATCCACCACTTCTTCCCCAGTTTGTCTTTCATTTTAAATGGACCTTTCAGTTTTAACAAATGATCTAAAACTGTCTATCTTTCTATCATCTGCCTTTCTATTTACCCATTATCTATCTGTACATCATCCAACCATCCATCCATCCACCATTCATCTCCGACTCTCTGTCGCTCTTTCTATCTCTCTGTCTATCTCCTTCTTTCTCCAAGAGGGTTCTTTCTATTCATGTCTTAGGATATTTCAGGCTAGAAGATTACCATGACAAATCTCTCCAAACTAGGCAGGAAAAATAGATATTTTTAAAGGGTAAGATTGGGAGGTGGTAAGAGAAAGAAACCAACTCAGTTACACCTGTAACAGGTCACACCTTGGATATTTTCAAATTTCTTTCTAAGGGTGGGGAAGGGAGTGCTGTTCTGGGAGGCCTGTTTGATAATCTATCTCTGAGATCTCTACCCAAGCTCTGGCCCCAGGGTTATGTCTCTAAACCATTTTTCCTACTTTCCATATTCCTCCTCACACTCACTGGGGGGTGGGTTGTACTCCCTAGGAGGCCCCCATCAGACCATGTGGACTAGAGAGGTGAGAACGGGGGAAGGGGAGAGGCTGCTATTTGGCGGCCCAGAGTGAGGATGCATTATTTCATTTCAAACTCTCAGTTCTGGATTGCTGAGGCCAAGAATGATGAGAAGGTTGAAATGAATGGCCTGTGTATGTATTGGAAATCTTTTCTCCAAAAAATACTGAGCTCAAGAATCACACTATAGGGCCTCCTGGGGCTTGATGGATCACTGTGCCTTCTGGGACAACTTGGAGCTGGGAGAGGACCGTTTGTGCAGAAAATAAATCATGAAATCTATTAGTGTCCCTCAAGGGAGTCTGGATCTCACATTGTTTTAGCTTCATTCTTTTCCCAAACCCTCTCTCTCTCTCTCTGTCTCTCTCTGTCTCTCTCTCTCTGTCTCTCTGTCTCTCTGTCTCTCTCTCTCTCTCTCTCTCTCTCTTTCTCTCTCCTCTGCTAGAGCTTAGTAGAATGCTACTCAGCATTCTCAGCAGAAGAACTGACCATTGCTTACTCACTTTGGAGTTTCTCTGTAAGCCCTTCTCTCTCTGGTTCTTCCCAAAGAAAGCAAATCTGGAGCCCACCACCTCCCTTAGAAGTACTATCAATTTCTGCCCTGTCAGTGCCCATCCCTGAAGAGTGGGAAGAAGATGAGAATGCAGGGAAGGAATTTTGTCTTGTTTTAGTTACAGGGTTGACCAAATTCATCACCAGATCCAAAAATGGGCCATCCATGCTGAAATATTCCTTTGGCCCCCGTAATCAAGACTATTTTGACCCATGCCCTTATATCCTTTCTAAAATTGCAGAGACCTTTGGCTAACCCCATACCTGTACCCTGTGTCCCGGAACTTGTCCTCAGTGATGGACTGGAGGCAGGTGTAGGACTCCCAGGCTGGATTCTAACCTTAATTTTGTCCTCCACTTTCATCTGGTTTTCATATACTATGTTGAATCTCAGGTAAGTGAGGTCTTCTGTTTTGGGTGAGTCTTTATTCAGACAGTAAGGGTTCAGCCGCTGTGGGTGACCCACCAGACATCTGGCAAAAGCAACCTCTCTGTCCTGATAAAGGCGCTATCCAAATCTCCACTTCTCGGAGGGCAAATAGTTTAGTTTGGCACTGACCTTCATGACCTTACATCGATCCTTAGAGAAAGCCATATAAATCAGACTGCAATATTAATTATGAATGCTACTCTACATTACAGGAGAATAGACCATGTGCTAACTCAACTTTGGAGTTTCTCTGTCCGTGTTTCTAGCTCTATGTCTTAGCCAAGTACCTCCCCCACCCCCTCCCTCTTTCTAGCTGTAGGGGGGAGAGAGAAATAAGAATGCTGCTGACCCCTGTGCCGCTCCTTTGTGTGCGTGTGATGTTTTTAGGAACCTGCTATCGTGACTGGCCGTGGTCGTGACTGTAACATTTGTTATCCTGTGTGTACCCACTCTATGTCTCTGCGCATTTTATCCTGTCCCCGAGATGAAATGCATCATGTCGTCAGTCAGTAAATCATGGGAGGGAGGTGGGAGGGGGAGTGGGAGGGGAATGTCTTTTCAAATTGCTTGTTTTCACAAATGCAAACTTTGAGTAGACGGGGCATTTCCCAATAGCAATGAGCTTGTCCTCCCAGTTTCCAGATGCGTGGAGCCCCTCCCGGGCACGGTGCGGGGCCAAGGACCACCCGTGCATGGTGGAGACATGTGGATGTCCACCCCATGGTGCTTTGCCTGCTTCTCTTCCTGCATGATGTGGTGATTAATGTAATGTTCTTTTCCAATGGAATCGCGGCCAATAAAGAATTACATGATCTCACTCCCTGTGACTTTTCTTATTTTCTCAGAGACAGGACTAGGGGAGATGGGAAGGCAGTCAACCCACTGCTCAGTTGCCTGCATGCCTGGTCTAGACTGTCCTGGCCATGCTATGGAGGAGGATTAAAGGAGCATAGAATGATAGCCCGGGACCAGGGATTTTAGGTATCATTTAATCTTACTCCATTTGACAGATCAGAAAACTGAGGCACAGAGGTCTAGAAGGATGAGATGGGGTTCTGGACTCAGAATCCTGAAGTCAAGGGTAAGACACAGGACTCACCCATGGGAAAGAGTGAAGAAAACAGGACAGCATATGGTCAGTGGACTAGTGAGTGGAACTTGGTTCCTCCTGTAGTAGTGAGAGGAAGGAGGGCTAAGAAGGGAGGTAGGATGTAGGATGGCTAGGCTAAAAGAACTTCAGGATCATGGAATCCCCGAATTCCAGAGTTGAAAAAGACCTTAGAGGGCATCTAGTCCAACCCTAGGAGCAAGAATGCCGCTACATTTCCAATAAGTGGTGAAGAGCTCTTCTGATGACTCATGAACACTTGGCTAATGATAGAGTGAACCTAATAAGTGAAAATATATTTGTCTGAAATCCCTAGAATCTTATTAAAAGGACTTTAAACTAAAAAGGGAGAGGGAGGGAGGAAACTGGCTGCAAAAGTCTGCCAGAATGCTACAAAGGTATAACAGGTAAATGTAACAAGTAAAAGCAGGTAAAACAGAAATAAAAACAGCAATAGAGGCCAGTAATGCACAAAAGATGATAATTTAGGAGGGCATCAGCAATAAAACCCTTGGCCTCAGATAGTGTCTTAGACTCAAAGGGCTAATTCTAAGAGTGGAAGAGGTGATCAATCTCTCTCTCCCATTCCCCAATATTGAGCAGCTAATGCTCTTTAAAAGGATAGTTAAATGGTAAACATTGCTGCCATACCAGCTCAAAGAGAAAAGTCAACCCAGTATAAAACTCACGTATACTCCAGCTTTGGGGCCTATCGTAGGATACTGAAGCTGGCTGTATCTTAGATGAATAGTGAGTGCAGAGAATATGAAAGCTTCCCTGGCTACTTTGAGTACTTCAGCCCGGTAGAGCTCTTGGTCTTATACCAGAGGTCAACACACTAAGATAAGTACCAGTATTTATGTCAAGGCCATCACATGATTCTTCAGTAGCAATGCAATTTGAGGTTAGATTATGCGTGACAATAG